GGCCGTGCCTCCTGCAAGGCACCAGGAAATAGATGCGAGAAGACACGTGGAGCGGGCCCCGGCGTGAGCGGCGACGGCGACGGTGGCGATGGTGGTGACGATGGAATTCGCATTCGACGCGGCGGAGTTGGGCGAGGACGCGTCCTCGAAAGTCACGAGCGCTTGTCAAACGGTTCGCTCGCCCCAGCGACGCTCAACCGACCGCTCCGATCGCTCCGACTACGGTTCGATTAGATTCGATTCGGCGGCGAGCGCGACGACGAGCGCAACAATGCGAGGAGCTAACGAGCGAGCGGGAAACGAAGGGCGAGCGCGCTGAGACAAAGCTCGAAGCTAACGACTTGTATGGACGGACGAGCGGGTGGGTGGAAAGAGCCACGAGACGAGACGAGACGAGACGCGACACGACGCGACTCGACGCGACGCCACTCCACTCCACTCCACTCACGCTGCCCACGGCGGACAACTGTCACGCACAAAATGGCTATTCGCCGTTAGCAGCTTGGCACGGGGGCCTGGAGACGGCGCGCGCGTCCGCTCCTCTCGCGCCCGACATCGACGAGGACAGACGTGTGCGATTCCCGCACACGTCAGGAGCATCACGCGGCGCGCGGCGTGGCACGACGCCGCGCTGTCCTCCCTCGCATTCTCACCCTTCGCCCGCCGGCTTTTCGAAATTTTCGCGCACGCATATACGACGGATAAAGCGGCGCGCGAAAAACGATTTCGCGCGCGGTCGCTCAGATGGCGCGATGCGCGCCGGTTTCTCACGATTTGTTTGTCAACAGACGATGACGACGACGACGACGACGATGACACTATGACAACGACACTATGACAACGACGACAACGGTCTACGACGACAAGGCAACGTCAACAGCGCGATTTGACAGCTGTTCTATTAATAGGCTGTGTTGCGAGGCGACTTCGTGCGACGTATGCCCCTTCGTTCTGCGTCGCGCGAGGAATTGGCTTATCCGTCCCGTTAAATCGTCGAATGCTTAGTTTGGTAAGAATACTTGGTCTAAAGCTCGAGATTATATCTGTGTATTGTATTAAGTCAGATATATTTTTAAAAAAATGTATCAATGTTCTCTAATATATACATTTCTTACGTTTAAATAATGTATTTAAATTAACTATTATTAACTATTATTACATTAAAAATTATGTATTACTCTTTAATTTTGAATTTCCCTTTTCGAGTTCTATTGAAGAAGAGTCATCGATGCGACACGTTATCTTAAAATAATCGACCCGCATAGAGAAACATGCTATCTACCCTTCGTGCGCGCGAATTTTTCGTCTTTCACAATCGCCTCCCACTCCCCCCCCCTCTCCTCTTTTCAAAGTCGGGAGTTTCGAACGCCGCTCTGAAGATGGCGCAAGACACGAATTTCGCCGCGGGAGAATTGTTTGTCAACAGAAAAATCGTTCGGCCGGGGTCGCGCGTCCGTCGGGACGGATGCCGCGCGGCACGGATACTTTGTGTCGCTAAAAGCCGTGCGGACCGTTGCCGAGAGCGAGACGGCTTCTGGATTTAGGGCGTAGCCCCGCGCGCGCGATGCAACGCGGCGTGGCGCGGCGTGGCGCGGCGCGGCCGGTACGACGGAAACCCGCTTCCTCGCCGCGTAATGCTCGGTCACGTCCGCGCGCGAGGGTCAGCCCCGCGCGAGCCCCGCGTCGTATATAAAGCTGTCCTTCTCTTTGCTCCGCGCGCTCTGAACGTTCCAAGCGAGACCGATGTTCTTTCCGGAGGAAAGAAAAAAAAAAGGAAAGACAGATGAGCGGAGAAGGAAGCGGGAAAGATAACTTCGCGGAAAGAATATCTCGGAGGAAACGTCATTTGTACATTTCGTTAAAGTAATACGTACACGAGACACGAGCCGTCGGAATGTCGCGAGGTATCTTTAGTTGAGAATCTGTCAAAATCGGCGGGAATAAATTGTACGCGCGACTTTGACATAACAAGCGTAAGTATCTTTATCCATTGGAAGTTGCCGTTACGTATCGTCGCGACCTAGTTTCCAAACCATAAGTATAAATAAAACGGCGATCGTGACTATCTCTCGAAGGATGAAATATGACGTCATCGATAATTTTTTTTCATACCGTGGATATTAATTTTTTTTTTTTTTAACCAAAATATATTATCTGATATCGATATTATACGTCACACTGTCACTCTGACAGAAGAATGCAATGACATCGAGGAAGTTTGTATAAACACGTGGTGTTGACAATTTTCCATCGGGGAGGGAGGGAGATGGGGAGGTAAAAATCTTTGAGAGGCAAACTCGGGAGAGTTACCCTAGATACGCGGCTGTAGCGAGTGACCCGGTAAGCTCCGAGCGGAACTTTTCGGGAACGAGTTTGCCGCGTTCCGTGGCAGTTCGATAATCGCGCGCGTACTCAGTAGTATCGCGTGGCAACGAGGTCGGCTTGAATGGCCGGAGAGCGCATCGGTCGCGAGAGACGAAGAGATTCGAATTTTTTTCCTCCTTTCGTGGACGCGCGCGCGCGCGCGCGTGTTCTCTCGCGCTCTCTGTAGGGGAGCGAGCGGGCGTTACGTCGAAGCTGCCGTAGGCATAGTGATCGAAAATGGCGGGAATAGAGGTACGAGCGAGAGAGAAGGGAGCGACGGGAGAGAAGAGAACGAGGGAAGACGGAGGGGAGAGAAGAACAGAGAAAGAGGCAGGTGGAGAAAGTGAGAGAGGGAGAGAGGGGCTCGCACACTCGCCCGAAATACACGAAAACGCTCTGACAAATCGATAAGCGGCGAGAAACGAGGCGGGAAACGCCGCGGGTCTACGGGACTACTCTCTCTCTAACACAGCATCGCGGGTAAGCAGAAGATGAAAATGCAGCAACTCACACCACCCAACTCCCTGATCTTTGCTTCTAGCTTGGTCGCAGTGGCATGGTTCTTTATGTCCAAATAGAACGACTTCTTTTCCAAAGGTTTCAGGCCCTTTTGCAAACGAGCATCTATAAAAGAAGTTTAAATTTTTTCTTAGTTTTTTTCTCTTTGTTTTTTACACCGTAACGATCGGCGTGACGATTGCTCGTCGCACCTGTAGACGCGCGATAAGATGTAATGAATTCCCGATTGTCAATTCGAATGAACCATCAACTCGAGTGTACGGAGCGTTAAAAACGTTTCTCGCGGATTCCTTTTCTTTCTTTTTTTTTTTCTTTCTCTCTCGAGGAATTATTGCAACACAAGCTCGGCGTGTCTCGCGGCTGCTGTCTTGCGTTCGTACCAACTGTGCTGTACAAATCACATGATACAGACAAATTGGTGCGGCCTCTAATCAAGCAATAATAACAGTCCTCACATCCCAGAGAGTTAACGTATTACGAAACGGGATATACAAAGTAAATCGTCGTTTACTGTTTGCATTGCAACAGCAAGGGAAATCCGTCGCGGTGATCGCTCAGAGAATCGCTCGCTCCAGCGCGTCGGCGAAGATTCCATTATTTACACGTAGCATCCGCATCAGAGGTTTTTGCCAGGCATCTATAGGTCTCTAAAACAACTCGAGTTTCTCAGTGATACGGTACGATACACACGGTATGGACAACCGTCTCTTCGCCGAGTTCAGCGATCATCGCGATCGGCTCCCCTCGTCCCCATGTGTTTGTATATGTGGATAGAGGACAGATAAAGAGAGACCGACAGGTACGTAACACGCGTGTTAAATACAGTCCCGAGCAAACGTCTCTACGCGATGTCCATCAACGGCCGGCGCCGCCCGGACCGCCGCGGATTATTATTATTATTATTATTATGCAACGCGCGGAATTACATTGCGCCCCAGGACTTACGTGACGTTCGTCGCGGATCGGATTTATTCTCTCTCGACGGCTGTCTGCGCTGTTGCTGGTGTTGATGATTGGACGGCGATACCATTCCTAAGCGATGATGATGCAGCACCGCACGACGTACCGCAGCGACGTTACGTTTCCTAACTCACTTTCGTCCCTCGTCCTCGTCGTCGTCGGCGGCGACGGCGCACTTCCCATCCTCGACACGCCGAGTAACGTCGCAGAGGCGCGGTCGCATGCTCTGTGTCCCTCGCTCGTCTGTATCTCTCTCTTTCTCTTTCTCTCTCTCTCTCTCTCTCTCTCGTTCTTGTTCTCCGTGATAATGTGCGCGTCACAATCGAACACCCGGATCAAGAACACGTTCTGTCACGACTACCAATCTGCCTGTCGTCGGCCGACACGATCAGATGTCATCTTCGATCAATCGCAAGGCTGCAAAAGTCTAAATCGTTCACTCGTTACAAGCTCCAAGCTTCTCTCAGGCTCTCGCACTGTAAACTGAGATCATGCGTTCTGAAGTCAGCGGCAAGAACGGGACGGATACGCGAGTGCAGGGTGGCCAACTTCAACGCGCTCAATCTTCGTTGCTGCGGTAAGAACAGGTGAGAGCAGATGAGGAGCTGAGGAGCTGAGGGGACGAGTTATTTGACAAGGTAAACTGGTCTCTCGTGATTCCTAAGAGGATTGAGACATTGATTCGTCTGCAAGATAGAAGTTTTGTGAAGAGTAGCGAGAAATATAAATCACTTTGGTGAATTATCGAGGCTCTAGGAAGAAGTCGGCGACGAAAAAAAGCGTTACTTTCATCTTGTGAAAGCAAATCGAATGAGATAAATGTCAATTAATGTCCGTCTTGCAAATAAGTTAACGTAGCGATTACTACACAAAACGCATCGAATTGGTTACATATTAATTTAATTATATTGCTGCAAGGGATTTTCAAACCAGTCGTGCACATATGCGAAGCAAATGTTGCTGTATTCAACTCGTCGGATGATGGCGTTGATGGCAACGCGGAATTTTTAAAACTTATTTCATCCGTCAAACTAATCATTTCCCGAATTCGTTGTTTTTTAGGCAGTTTATAATTTTAACGATATAATTTAATTTGGCGAATTAAAAACTTTGATGTGCTTGTATTAGACACCTTAAATATAGAGGGTAACAAATTATATCTTTCCAAAAATTTCCAAAGACAAGTTTAAAAAACAATACACTTTATTTCCACAGTCAAAAATGAAATATATAAATGCAAATGATATATTCATTATTTAAAAAATCTTAACTTTAATAAATATCTTTGTTAAATAATATCTTTTTTGCTGTATGATTTAAATTCGATTGCTATTGTTCGTATAAATATCAAATATCAAAATATGCTCAAAATATATATAATCTCAAGAAATAAAGTTCGAAAACAATAAATATAAACATAATCATTTGACATCCATAACGATCCTTACTTTAAATTTTCAACATTAATATTTAAGATATAAATATATAATCTTTTATATAATATAAATAATATACTTAAGATATAAATATATATTCTTTTTTTATATATTATTTGTATTGTATTAGTATTAGTATTGTATTAGTATCAATTGCTCATTATTGTTCTGCACGGTCAATTAATTTAGGTTCATTTAATTGTGTGATATAGTAGAAATATCTTCGTAGTGATTCATAGTAGTCGTAGTTCTTTGGAGCTTTTCTAACGACGGGACAGACTGCAATGTAGCCGTTTTAGCTATTTTTTTTGTCTACAATCTTGGTAAATTAATTTTATTATATATAGAATTGCTAATGGTATTGGTGTCATAATTGCGGCAGACACAGGAATCACTAAAAAAAAAATATATTAAACAATTAAGTCAACACACATATATATATATGAATATTCGTTACACTTACCAGTGGTTAGATCGTTAATGGGTGGTTCCAATGTAAATCGTAACAAAAAAATAGACACGCCTGTGTTCTGAATACCAGTTTCAATGGCAATTGCTCGTATATCAGCTTGAGGCTGGTTGCAGATATATGCTGTTATGAGCCCAAATGTAAAACCTAACCATGGCAAACCCATTCCTGCAATTATAATCTGAAATAGGAAAATAAAATTACATAGATTGTATTTTGATAGTTACTGCTAACATTGAACATTTATAATATATGTGACACAAACTATGTACTGGCAATGAATATCGGAACTCTTTTTTTATAAATAAGATAAATACTCACCTCCCATGAGAACAATTTGAAAAGATATAGATTAGTCACGATAGCAAATATAATGATGAACAAAATTAAAATAACAGAGAAAGGTTTCATTATTCGGACTAATATCTTGGATACATTTGGATGTTTTCGTTGAATGAAAAATCCTATAGCTAGTGGAATTATGAGACCAATTACGAGAGTGCCAATATGACGATAAGGAACTGGAATTTGTCCTTGTGAGAAAATATTTCTGCCCAATGTAAAAATCCAAAATGGCATCATTCCTACGAAGAATAGCAAAATTTTATTTCATTTATGCAAGAGTTACCTTTATATTATGTATCACACATTATTTACCAAATGCTGCGATGGTGCACATAGTGGTCATTGTGATTGAAAGATTCAGATTGCCGTCAAGTAATACTGTCCAGATATTCGAAGCGCCACCGCTTGGACTTATCCCTGTGAAGAACATGCCTATTTGCAGTTCAGGACGATCAGGAAATAAAAGATATCCAATGAGATAACTTAACTGTGGAAATAATAAAAAAATCAGAATTGAAAATTTAATTAATAAATGAGCATGCCAAGTAAGTAACGGGAGTATCTATGTATCAATTATTTGATACATTCACATATTTATGATAAAATGATTTACCAACGGCATGATTAAAAATTGACAGAAAAAACCTATGGCTGGACCTATTGGTCTTCTTAACGTAGCACGGCATGTACTCCAGTTCATGGCACAGCCAAAATTAATATATAAAATGGATACAAGAATCGCAACACTAATAGTAAATACAGAATCTATTATGCGTTCCTCTCGTATTACCGTAATAAGAGAGACCTCCCGGCTGTCTATAATCTAAAAAAAAAAAAGAAAGAAAAATCTTGTTTATTCTCAAAAACGAAGCAATAAAATTAAACATTCACTTGACACTTACCTTATATTTCATCAAATTAACTGTTAATTTTGTTCTACCAAGGAACACACCAGTGATATTTAGAACACCATTTTTGGAAGTTTTGTTTAACGTTAATATATCATATCTCGGTATTGCGATATTATCATCAGCAGTAATGTTCCACTCTGTTAAATCGGATGGCATATCATGTATGCTGCATGGAACTGAGATTACATGATTCATATGTACAGTTATGTTAGGTATGATGTCAATTGTCCAACTTGTTGTTTCTCCCAACAACAAGAGTCCAATTATGTACACAGCACCCGCCATTCTCTGCAAAGTAATAAAAAAATGTATCGGTATGTTCACTTCAATATGCTTCTTTAAAAAATTTCTCAGACACAGTTTGTCACAACCGATTGAACTATTCTCTCAGTTTAATACGGAATAATTTCACGGCAATGTCAAACGTGATAAAGGTACAAATAAAACTGTAAAAAAGTAGTATATAAAGAGAGAAGAGTAAATAAATGATTAGATAAGCGTCGCATCAACGATATGTAAACATGTAAATCATTTTAATCGGCACAACAGCAAAATAGGCATTTTTTTTACTAACTGGACGGTTCTCCGCCAAGAAAGAATCATTACTCAAGCTTCGAACAATAATTAGCGATTTTTATTAATCGCAAAAAAAGACTGTAATCACACACACACATACACACACACACACACCACACACGTACTCGTGTATAGTTTCGCGTGCACCGATGCTTCGTGCGTCTCGAGAAATATATTTACAGCCGCATAAGAAAAACGCATACACGCGCAATCATAATTGTCCGCGACAATCTCTTCGTTCCGCAGACGACATCGGAGCCGCCGTTCGCGGTCGCGAAACATCACGGCTCAATTGCATAATCAGTGAGCGCGAGTCGCGCGCGCCCGGCACGGTGAAAGACGCACGCTTCGACGACGACAGTTCCATGAAATCTGCGACTTACGACACACCATCAGTAAGTATATGCAGGGCTGTCGGGAGCGGAACCCGAGACCCGAGGCAAAAATATTAATTCATTCTGTTCTTCCCGAAATTCAGAGACACCTAATATTGTAATTAAATATTATTTAAATTAAATTCTTTAAAATTTAATTAAAAATTTTTTAATTTAATAAACAATTGAATTAAACAAATTTGAAATTTATTTAGTTAAATTAATTGACTATGATTGTCAAAAAATCGCTTAACATTTTATTTATACGTTGCTTTTATTTACATAGATGTCTACATTTTATGTATGTATATTGATTAATA